TGATGGAAGAATCTGGGGTGAATCGGTCTGGGAGGGGGGATGGGGGGATGGGGGGAGGGGGGAGGGGGGGATTCTCTGCTTTCCCTGCTTTTTCCCCTGCTGCTTCTCCTTGCTCCTGCTCTCCTAAGCCCATTTCTGTCTGTGTGTTATGTCTGTATTTCTCGTCTTTGCTTCTTCCCTGTTGCTTCTGCTATTCTCCCAGGCTTTTTTTTGTCTCTGTCTGGCTTCTCTGTCCTTTGCTTTCCCTGCTTCTCATTCTCTCTCTTCACCTCTCCTCCCTCCTCTTTCTTCCCTCCTCTTCTCTTCTTCCTCCCATCTCTTCCCTCTTCACTTCCTCCTCCCTCTCCCCCCCCCTTTCTTCCTCCCATCTCTTCCCTCTTCCCCTCTCATCATTCTTTCTTCTTCCCTCCTCTCCCCCTCTTCCTTCCATCTCCTCCCTCTTCCCCTCTGATTTTTTTTCTGTCTGTCCCCTACTTTCCTATTTTCTCTGTGTTTTCCTACTTTCTTGGTTCTGCTGCTCCTCGCCTTGGCCCGCTTCCCTGCTTTCCTGCTTTTTTTCTGCTTCCTGCCTTCATTGCTTCTCACCTGCTTCTTACCTGCTTATCCCAGGTAATTTTCCCCTTTTTCCTCTCGAACTCTCCCTGCTTATCCAAGGTGAATTTTCCTGCTTGTCAAGGTGAATTTTCCTGCTTATCCAAGGGGAATTTTCCTGATTATCCAAGGGGAATTTTCCTGCTTATCCAAGGTGAATTTTCCTTCTTATCCAAGGTGAATTTTCCTTCTTATCCAAGGTGAATTTTCCTGCTTATCCAAGGTGAATTTTCCTGCTTATCCAAGGTGAATTTTCCTGATTATCCAAGGTGAATTTTCCTGATTATCCAAGGTGAGTGTTCCTGATTATCCAAGGTGAATTTTCCTGCTTATCCAAGGGGAATTTTCCTGCTTATCCAAGGTGAATTTTCCTGCTTATCCAAGGTGAATTTTCCTGCTTATCCAAGGGGAATTTTCCTGCTTATCCAAGGTGAATTTTCCTGCTTATCCAAGGTGAATTTTCCTGCTTATCCAAGGGGAATTTTCCTGCTTGTCCAAGGTGAATTTTCCTGCTTATCCAAGGTGAATTTTCCTGCTTATCCAAGGTGAATTTTCCTGCTTATCCAAGGGGAATTTTCCTGCTTGTCCAAGGTGAATTTTCCTGCTTATCCAAGGTGAATTTTCCTGCTTATCCAAGGTGAATTTTCCTGCTTATCCAAGGTGAATTTTCCTGCTTATCCAAGGGGAATTTTCCTGCTTATCCAAGGGAAATTTTCCTGCTTATCCAAGGTGAATTTTCCTGCTTATCCAAGGTGAATTTTCCTGCTTATCCAAGGTGAATTTTCCTGCTTATCCAAGGGGAATTTTCCTGCTTATCCAAGGTGAATTTTCCTGCTTATCCAAGGTGAATTTTCCTGATTATAACAGATACTTTTCCCTGCTTATCCTAGGTAAACTTCCCCGCTAATGACAGGTAAATTTCTCTTCTAATCCAAGGTAAATTTCCTTGCGTATGACAGGTCAATTTCACTCTTTATCCAAGGTGAATTTCCTTGCCCTCCTCCTACCTCTTTCCTTTTTATCCAAGGTAAATTTCCTTGCTTATGACAGGTCAATTTCTCTCCTTATCCAAGGTGAATTTTCCTGACTATACCAGATACTTTTCCTTGCTTTCCTCTTATCCTGTTTTTTCTCCAGTTCTTCTTCATTCCCTCTAACCCCCTTTCCCCTTTCCCTGATTTCGTTACCCCCCCCCCCCCCTCTCTCTTCCCTCGTCTAACCTATTTCCTCCTCTTCCCTCCATCTATCCACTCTCCCCTCCTCCCTCCCTCCCTCTCTTCCCTCTTTCCCCCAACCCCCTCCATCCCTCCCTCCCCCATCCATCCCTTCTCCCTCTCTCTCTCTCTCCCCCTCATCTAACCCACCTCCCCCTCCCTTCCCTCCCTCCCTCTCTCTCCCCCCCTCATCTAACCCACCTCCCCTCTCTTCCCTCCCCCTCCCTTCCCGCCCCCCTCCCTCCCTCCCTCCTTCTCTCCCCCCTCATCTAACCCACCTCCCCCTCTTCTCCCTCCCTCCCTCTTTCCCCCCCTCATCTAACCCACCTCCCCCTCCCCCCCTCCCTTCACTCCCTCCCTCCCTGCCTCCATCTCTCTCCCCCCCCATCTCATCTAACCCACCTCCCCCTCTTCTCCCTCCCTCCCTCTCTCTCCCCCCTCATCTAACCCACCTCCCCCTCCCTTCCCTCCCCTCTCCCTCCCTCCTACCCTCTCTCTCTCTCTCCCCCCCCCATCTCATCTAACCCCCCTCCCCCTCTTCTCCCCCACAGACGCCCGAGCAACGCGACATCTGCAACAAGAAAAGCCCCCCAGACCTCGACGGCTTCGACAACCCGATCACCAAAATCCGGTTGGCTTCTGTCTTCAACCAAGGCGGGGGAGGCGGAGGGGGAGGAGCCTCGTATGTCTTTATG